GGAGGGGAAGGGGGATTCTAAGAATATTACAGAGAATTAAGAAGGGATCAGGAAACTTTTAATCTGACACAACCAAAATCCTCCGATTTCCTAAGGCGATAAATGATGACCCGTCTCTCCCATAAACGTAATGTCGGACGAAAGTGGGCGACAAACAGTGTAGAAAGGATTCATATTACACTAAACGTATATAAGACTAGAAACTGGCTGCTCCCCTTGAGGAAAAGAAACCGTGAAATAGGAACAGGAATTTCCAGCGCCACATTTATAATTTGGTCTTTTGCGATGTATATATATGTGTTGTCACCCAAACAAATGACAGATAACTCTGACGGCCGTTTGTGTTACGTTTCTTTAGTGTGTCTTTGAGACAACAAATCGCATGGAAAATTACCTGTTCTGGTATTTTCCACTGGCAATAACGGAACAATAGCATTTAAATAGTGTTCGGAGGCAATCATTGTATACAATTACGATTAAGATTATCTTTTGACCAGGATTTAAAAAGCCTATTTAATCAGTTGAGCTCATCGCAGTATGTTTTTGGTTGCTCGCACAGCGTCTAAAAGAACCAAAAATAATTTTGAGTCAGAGTGGAAACTCTCGGTCGTCACTCCAATGGAGCGCTCTGCAGTTTTCTGTCCAGATATCCGATTGTAACACATTTTGTGTTGCCGATTTTAACTATTTGCTGGCAAAATTTCAATTAGGAAAACAGCGGACTTCAAAGTTCGCTATTTAACATTAACTGAAAATAACTCCTCAAGATCTAGTTATCGTGACTTTGTGATGTCGGCGCTATTTAATCAGCTTAGACCAAGAGCACGGAGTGTGCAGTCAACAATCATGCCCCCTCTTACCGCCAAACGATTCTAAACACGTGATTCTGAAGTCGTAAACACAGAGGTGAGAAATTGTTATTTCTGCTGGCTGCAGGGATTGGCCAAGGGTCTTATAACACCACACGGCAGCTTTCGCTAAAAGAGCTAATTTGTCATGCCCAAAACCTATTAACCTCTTTTTTTTATCCAAATTTGAAGATTTACTGCACGGACAATGGAGACCAATTGACTCTACTTTGACTCAGGCTATGCATGCATAACTTAGATCCACGAACTTTTGAAAAATTAGTGGGATTAGTGGTTAAAACAGTGTGTAACTTGCCAATACAACACCCAGACACTCAACACTCTTGTCATCACCTCTGCAAAATCTCCTCCATGGCTTTCTTAAAAATCGATTTTCCTCCAGCTGAAATATACTGATGATTAGCTCTTTTGCATAAATTAAAAACAGATGGAAACAGTCAGAGCATACTTGTCTCTTAGACAAAACGAACAACCACGACTCTAACTGGTGTTTGTTTACAAGCAGTCAATTCAGCGCAAAACAGGTCACTTCAGGTCAATCGCTTTCGCAATAAGGTGAGTAAAAACCTAAAATATGCTTGGAATCGTTCGTTGGCGCATGCTTGGTAACAAGTTAAGTAAATAATTGCTATTTCGGAACAAATACAACAAGGATTAATTTCACGGGGTCATTCAGAGCTAAGACGCCCCCGTAAACATACAGGGAATAGAATGTCGCACACATGTCTACCAAGACAGAAGAATAAAATCGGAATCCGTGCAAGTTCTGATAAAAATTCAAGGGTAAAATGGCTAAGAATATGACGAGCAGAGAGAAACTCACGTACGAAGGATATACTTTGCCAAAACCTACCATCAAAGAGCTACTGGCCCGTAACGCACGGAAGGATTCGGAGTTAAAAACCCTCCACAAAAGACTCGACAAGGAGAAAGAGGAACTCGAGAGCGATTTTTCCAAGACACGCTCTCAGTTTCTTTCCCGAGTTCACAATTTGTTGTTGGAGGGACAAACACACGATCTTGGGTTTAATCATGAGAGCAATTCTGACGAAGAACAACAGAGTACTTTCGAAAGTGGTGCTAAAAACGATAATGGCATTAACGATTTAACTCCATCATGGGAAGCGAATTTGAAAAGTCTGTCCAGCTCTCAGCTCGATGAGGACATAAACAGGGCTGGATGTAATCGAAACTCACGCCACATTCAACCATGGGCACAAAAAGTCAAACACTACAACCATTCTTTGGCCACAAAAGCTGAGTCAGGTTCATCAAAACTCTCGCGTTCTAGACGTAAAGTAAGTTGGGGAGGTAGGGCAAACGTTATGCCTGAAGATTGGGACGCGAGAAGCGTTCTCAGCAAGTCGAACTCCGAAGGAAATCTTCCCTCCGCTCAAGTCACATGTCCGATAAGTGACACCTTACGCTCTAGAATTCGGAGACACTCCGTTGTCGGTCGATCGCGATTTGATACCTTTAATCCCAGAAGCAACAGCCTCATGAAGGAAGATTTAAAAAACCAGAAGTCGTCGAACACTCCACGCCAGGTAAAACAACGAAGGCACACGGTTTGTGCTAGAGGAATTTTTGAGCCGAAACTGACTTCTACCGAAGAGGAAAAATGTAAAGCAAAAAAACCTTTGTCTGAACTTCTTCCTCCAATTACACTACCTCCGATTTATCTGCAAGAATCAAAAGGAAAAGAAACAGGCAAAAAGAAGAGCTTCGTAAAGACACACGTACGACCGAAAGCTGCGGATTCCACACAGCTCACAGAAGATTTAGACTATTGCCGCTACTTACGATTGAATAGAAAAGACGGCGATTACAGTTAGCTACAAAACTAGGAAATAATGATGTGATTTATTGCAACCGGAAAACAACGCTGATCACTTTAAAAAGACGCGTTGTTTGCCCATGAGGGTTAATCTATGCAACTCCTTCTAAGAGTCCAATAAATGGATAATGGATTTAACGCTAATGCCTGCAGCAAAATCTGGTGTTTTCAAGCGATTGCCAGTGCACGTGACAAACGCACCCGTGAAATCTTACAAACAAGCTCACAAAGTTCGATTGCTGATCGACATCACAGAAAAAATGTATCTGTTGAAAATGTAATGAGCAAAACTCGTTAAGACAAAACATTCAGGCTGTGCAAATTTCGATTATGATGATCATCGTAAAGTTACAATATAAGTAAAAAACAATCAATGTTAATGTTGCCTTCAGGGTTGATAAGGCTAAAATTTCAGTGCTCAATTTGTCTCCGAAAATATCCTCTTCACTTACCATCTTCATTACTTCTTTCCGCTATGCTTTTTGAGAAAAAAATATTCAAGAATTACACTCGAGATGCTAAACAGGGGATGATTTCTTACGACAATTCAAGAAAAATATGCCTCAGGGTCTTGCTCAGAAAGGAAGATTAGTTTAATTGAAGCATCTTTCAACCATGTGTTTAGCCAAACTTATTATTTTTTTTACATTCCATGCACACAGCTTGCAAACAAGGATGTTCAAACACGTCAAAAACTCCTAATTAAACAGTTTGCTATTTACAAGTTAAAATTTATGTGTACTTAACATGTTTACAATTGATATGGCACAAAAACAAAGCTTATTTGCACACTAAATACCGACACAAAAGATTTTGGAACCTCAACGAATTAGAGAGATGGAAGATGCTGTATTAATTAACAAAACCGCCTCAAACAAAAACCTTTGGCCTTTTGTTAGACGCGCCTTTTTGTTATCTGATTTTCCGCGTTAGAGTGGTGAAGGGGGTGTAGGTTACCCGATTTACCTGCTGAACAGATGATCTGCACGGTGACCAGCAATGGGCGGGCGCCACTGACAGCAAAAACATTGCAGGGATATTTTTCTTAAATTTTTAACAGTTTTTCTCAAAAAGCAATTCCTACACGTACTCTTACAAAGCCGAAATTCGTAGCAGAGAGTCGTCTAAATCCCCTATACAGACATCATATCGACATAACCTAGAGCGTCAACAACACGTGAATATGTGTATGTACGAGTAAAAGCAACATAACGTTAAAAAATTTCAACGTGTTGTCAGTTATCGTCGCCAGAGCTTTGTGAGTACTCTCACCAGTTACGACGCATCGCAGGTCAGATAAACTTCATAATAGTCTTGGGGTTTACACTAAGGTGACGAAAGCAGGTGTCACGCTCTACATGGGCCCCGTGACTTCATAACTCTCAGCTTCATCTCTAAAGTGATCCACTAAGTTGTTTATCTCGGAAACTCTTTTGCGGTTTCTTAACACCTCGTCATTGTGGATCTTCTCGTTCAAAGTTTGCATTCTGGTGGTTGCTCTGGTTAACATATCATCCTCCTAGAAATGCACCACAATGATTAAGACTAAATTCTCTAAACCTATCTCTCGCAAAAATAACGAAGCAGGTTTGGAGAATTTGGACCGTAAGTACTGAATTCAGGAAGACACCTGATTTTTTAGGACATGATATCAAGATAGATTATAGAAAAAGTATAGAAAACGTATTGAGGGGGAATTTGACCACACACACTTATGTACTGCTTCACTACGCTGTCATTAGCCTAGTATGAACGAAGAACAAGCGACGTGAAAAATAGAGGGCACCACGAGGCTTTTCCCATGAAAAGAGAAAAATTTCTTTGGCGAGATTTTACACCTATGCGTAAATGCTGGTAAACCCTTGGGAAAAGCCTTTGATTATTCAAACTTACAACAACAAACCCAAAAAGGAACACAGCAAGATAAAAAACGACAGCATTTTTTTTTATCTACCTTGTTATCAATCTTTAGAAGGTGCGTATCATGAGAAGCACTGACGGCGTTCATTAGTGTGTCCTTGTCAACAAATAGCTTTGAGAAACAAGCAACAACACAATTAGTTAAGACGACAACGAAAAAAATAAAAAACGGACCAAAAAATAATGAAACTTAGCCATTCCAAATCTGAACTGTTGAGGGCGAAAATTGACCATCAGACTTCTACCTTACCAGATATATTAGATACGAGATTCTTCAGTTCATTCCATGATTGGCGGTACTCAGTTTTGAGTGAAACCTTCTGGATTTTTCCCAAGCGTGTGGACTTCAAAGTTTGGTTTCTTTTGTGCTCCTAAGCAACGCTAAATTCTGCTTTGTTCCAATCCTTTAACCATTTACACCCTAATATCAGCATTAATATTCTCCACACTGTTCATCGTACATTTCCTAGGGTACCGACAAGGAGATTTGCTTTAACAGTCAAGAGCTTCTTTAGTAAGTGATCATTTCCGTTATTCTCGTGACCTTAATGTTTGATTTAGGGGGTGATATTGTGAGGAGAAATTAGACGCCAGTCATTCTTAGGGGCTAAAGGGTTACATGACGCACTACAAAAAAAGGCGTATGTAGCGCCGCAAAAAGAGAAAAAAAACATATCCATACCTTTCAGCTAGGTTTGTTTGTTATATTTCTTTTTAGTTAATCCAGTCAGCAAGACAAAGATAAAACTTCATCTAAAACGTACGCCAGTTTTTTCATCTTTCCCGATAAGTTCCGGCAGCTATTAAACCAAAGCCAACTTACCATTCTCAAGTCATCAGGCAGATCTTCTTCCAGCTCGTTTTTCATCAGTTTTTCAAGTGTGACCACAGCGATATCTGACGTTTTTTCGTGATGTGCGTTTTCCAGGTCACGTAACTGCGTCATTGTGAACAAAGTTAAGGATAAAGAATGCAAGGCACAGCTGATAAGGGCTCGAGGAGGAAACTTATTTCACGTCTTTCAGTTCTACCAACTACGAAGCACATCCGCTTGCAGTTTTCGCTTAAACGCTCTTAGACAAAATAATAGTGGATTTTTTGTCAGATTAAAAATTTTGTCATTAGTAGTTGAGGTTAAGTTCCAGTACCAGTACCAGTACCAGTTCCAGCACAGGAGGTTCACAATCTCATAAACGAAAAGGTCTCAACGGCAATCTGGCCCTAGCAACCTGAAGGCACCTGCCAACTCAATGCCCAAATGTGGAACGAATACTTGCCCACAAAGTGTGAGGAAGGGAAGGCAGAAATAAAAAAGCAAAGTAGTAAGATAATTAAATAAAAGCATATAGCAATACGGTTATGTCCCTGTAAACCTTACTGACCCCACCCAAAGCACACTAATGAAACCGCTGCATTGACTTGGTTCTAACCTAAATTCCAATTGGCCTTGAAAAAAAAGACCGAGATTTAAAAGCTATTGCTTGGTATATTCTCAAGCACACTCTCAAAATTCCCTGATTTACCCACAAGTCTCCAGTAAAGGATATAATCCTTGCACGTGTTCTACAAATGCGGTCACAAGGTCCGCCATGTTCCTTTCAAAGTCTTTAATTGTGTCCTGTATGTTGAGATACACGTGTTATTTATTTGAATAGTCATTTATAAGTCTTTATAAAATGTTCAGAAAAATGCGCGCGCCGTTATTGGTCAGAACGAGTTAATTATATTTCCATAAAGCACGCGCCTTACGTCAGACGAGTGCACTGTTGAGATATAGTGCATGCAGCCAACGTCATCGGTACGAGCGCGCGCAATTCACGATGCATTTTATGAAAGAAATTAAAAAACCTTGCTCCTCGTGCACCGTTGAGTTATATAAGCATTAGGGAATTTTTAGAAACACTCGAAAAGTGCGAGAAGCATTCGCCTTCGGCTTTTACTTCTTCTCACTTCTCGAGTGTTCTTAAAAATTCCCTAATGCTTATATAACAACGATACATTCGGCGCGTTTTCTAATTCTTTATAACCACTAGCATTAAAGCCGTCTGTTTATGCTTTTTTTCTCCGGCGCGTGCCAGATTCGTGCAATTCTGAAGAAGTTCTGGATCAGTTCAGGCACTGATTTTTATCAACAAATTAGATTCAAGTAGATTGGCCACCGTTTCAAAGCTAAAACTGAAAATCTAAACGGTGGCCAATTTACGTTATCAGTTCAGCTAATAATAGCAAATTACCTAGTTATTTTCACCCACAGACGCAGCAGCACAAATGATTTAGAAACTTACCCCCTTTATAGATTTAATTAAGTTGAATAAAGGGGGTAAGTCTCTAAAGAAACTGTGGTGCAGCGTCGGAGAGGGTATTACTAGATTATTTGATTTTAAAAACTGAGTTGATTATGAATATTGGCCATCGTAAAGAGTTATTTAAGTCCTTGAGCTTCAGAAGCTCTTTACGGTGGTCAATTTACATTATTAACTCATTAAAAGACACAAATTGTCTTACAATTACGTAGGTTGATTACCTCTAACTGGTCCACCAGCTCCATTTCCAGTCCCATTAGTGTGTCCCACAGTTTTCTTATTTCTTCAACGATTTCCTTCATCAAGGTTTCCATATGACTCTGGTCAGTTAGGCTAGTATAGTCCAAAAATACCTGAAATGAAACATAAGGATTGCACTCATTGCAAAAATCGGGAATTACTAGTTCGGCTCAGTACAACAGGCATAAAATAAATGATGTACTCTTTTGTGCAAGTCGCGTGTAGTACAGAAATATAATAAAGCAAAGATACAACTTGTAGATGCAGTCTTACTTTCAGGGACAGTCGTTTTCGATATACTGTTTAAGTTCACTCAAGATTAAAAGAGTGGTCAGTTTAGCAGTTCAAGGTGGAAGACATGTCGCAGAAAAACGAAATGCAGATTGACCAGAAATCTGCAATCATTATTAGATTATCCTTCCGCTCAGGAGAGAGTCAAACTCATATGAACACGTAACACATTTATGAGGTTCTTATTGGTGGGGGTGGGGAATTGGGGGGTTCAATTTCAGGCCGTTTGACAGCTAACACCATTGAACTCCTGTGTAAGTAAATTCTAGCAGGAAGAGCCATTTAGCTCGTGCGTTGACTGCACGTGTATATCTGCTTGCCATTTACAAAGAAATGCTCCATACCTTTTTCTTGTACTCAATGTAGCTATGAATGTGCTTGACACCTGTGTTGTTGTTTTCTTGCGTTGCTTCTTCCAAACAAGAAAAGAATGATGCAATTTCTGCTTCTCTCTTTTCATGCTCCTTCAAGCCAAACTCGAATATTTCCTGGCAAATTGCTGTAAACTTCTCATTGTATCTTGCATAAGTAAAGGTGCGTAATCTTAATTAAGAATACATGGGTGTACAATTCTGAAATACAAATCCATTTACTTAATAAACAATGTTGCTACATACTATAATGTATGCTGTTTGTAAAGGATACCCATTGAGGATTTCTTCCATTCCAGGAAGAGCCCCAAGTTTACCAGCCTCAGGATCATCAGCATACATGCTTTCAAAGAGCCATGGACCATTCAGGTCCTCCACAAAGGCCATCTAAAAATTTGAAAGGAGAAGTGTGTGCTAAGAATAGAAACAAAGGGCATACAAACACAAGAAAAAATACCAGTCGTTCAATGAGATCACCCAAAGGAGGGTACAGTCCTGCAAAAGACTGCAACAACTAAACTTAGGTCAATGTCAGTCTGATTTTTCAATAAACTAAAACAGAAGTCATAATCAGAGCCACATGGAAAGGTGTTTGTAGTTGAATTTCAATAAGTCTAGTAGAAAAATAATTGTGTGAAGTTTATCATTCCTGAAGGAGGTATGGGCAGGTGATCAATTTGAAAATGTCATCCAGGCTAAAGCAACCTGGATGAAATACTAGGGCAGAGGTAGGGCAATTTTCAACTGAGTCTGTAAAGCAATCTGAGATTGCCCTGGTTTTGCCTAACTTTCCTCTGTAATTGACCCATTAAAAACTTGCCCCACTGATTCAACCAATCAAATACAAAACTAAATCTAATTGGATCCAGGATACATGCATTTCCCCTTGCTTTAGACAAAAAGCCTTTCTATGGGCCCAAGTGGTCCATGGGGCCGATGCTTAACTCCAGTTTTCTTAGCATGAAGAGGCTAGGAGTATTGCTACTCCCCCCCTGGATGGGATGCTAGTCCATTGCAGGGTTACCCCCAGCACATTTGCTGGTACCCATTTGTACACCTGGGTGAAGAGAAGCTCGGTGAGAGTAAAGTGTCTTGCCTAAAAACACAACACAATGACCAAATTACTTTTTAGACAAAAAAAGAGGGGAAAAAACTCTGACCGCTTTTTGCAGTATTTTCCTTTGTTCTGATTGGTCAGTATCAGAGATTAGTTTGGTTTTGGTTCTATCACAACACTCAAATGAAAAGAGCTCTAATCATTAACTCCAAAGATCTGAGTACCAATCCTTCCTCCTTCCTGCTATACATTACTTTTACTTATTGATCAAAAGGAAGCAAACATCGTACAAGTGAAGTTGCCACCAAATTCCACCCATTGGAGCTCTCCTTTTGGTATACATGTACCTTGTGCAACTGTCTCTCCTTTTGGTTTTCTTCAACTTCATCCTGTTTTCTCTTGGCTATGGTCTCATTTTGGACCATTTCCTCTATAGAATATTTGTATTTTTCTGTTGCAGCTTCTCGGGCTGATTCATCGATCAGACGAAAGTCCAGGTAGACAAGTTCTGATAGATGTGCAATTACATATTCTTTGTAATTAACTTCCTCAGAAAATGGGTTTCCACTGAGGTTTAAAGTTCTCAAGGACTTGAATCGTCTGAGATAAACAACCTAAATTACCAAAAATGATTTTAATGAATACTGTTGTTGGACACAATAAGAATCAGGAAACTTTTATACATTTTCCCTTAATTTAACGTATAAATCTCGATGAAATTGTCTTTAAGGTATTACTGGCAATTTAAATTTGCACCATTATCATTTTTATTTAATGAGATCAGTTTAAAGTTTGCATCCCATGGATGAATTGGATTGTTATATCTCTCAGTAAGAACATGCCCTGTGACAGGTCAATTCAGTGGTCCGTATTTCACTGTGCTGTCACCTAAATTCAAAAGTTTGTTTGAACTGAAATGTTTCTCCAAATTTTGAACCCAGAGATATAATAATAAATATCCTTGGCTACGGACCTTGTTTCCTTGGTCCTTACTCTAAGTTTAAGATTCAAACCAGGTTCTATCTGCTTATATTTCAGGCCTGTGTCCTTTTTGCTTGGACCACAATTAGACCAAGCCAAAAAAGAAATACAGTCTGCAACTGATAGTATGGACCTTGACCTCATTTAATATGAGGTATATATTGTTCCCTGGAATAGGTCTGGGAAACTGTTGTGTGTTTTAGCTTTTTCTATTCCTATAAATATTATGTGCTTAATAAACTAAATTACAGAGAATTAAAATGTTTCACCAGAATTTGAACTCAGAGATATAATAAATATCCTTGGCTACCACCCTTGTTTCCTTGGTCCTTACTGTAAGTTTAAGATTCAAACCAGGTTTTATCTGCTCATATTTCAGGCCTGTGTTCTTTTTTCTTGGATCACAATTAGACCAAGCAAAAAAAGACATGGTCTGCAACTGACAGTATGGACCTTGAACTCATTTAATATGAGGTATATATTGTTCCCTGGAATACACCCGGGAAACTGTTGTGTTTTAGTTTTTTTCTATTCCTATGAATATCACGTGCTTAATAAACTAACTTACAAAGAAAGAGGGGATAAGTTTTTAAAGAAACTGTGGTGCTACATAAGTGGGAGAGTATAGCTGGTAATTTAGTGCTAATAACTGAGTTAAAAGTGTAAATTGGCCACCATAGAGAGTAAAAAAGCTTACATTTCGAGCGTTAGCCCTCCGTAAGAGAAATTGATGAAGGGGTAATGCTCGAAATGTCAGCTGTTTTACTCTTTACAGTGGCCAATTTACATTTTCAACTCAGTTGTTAACACTTTACCTACAGAGAAAGAGCCTTGACATTAGCTGTGTAAGAAAGAATCTAATTAGCAATTAAATTATTGCCTAATTTTTTGGAAACAAATAATCAAATGAAATTAATCCTTGAAAAAATCCAATTTGAGAAAAAAATGCTAGAAAATTTGGTTGAAAATACTCTCTGAATGCTTCCAAAAAATTAAATAATACAAAATTCAATTTTGCCATTCCCCATTTATCCCATAAATGTATTGCTAACCAGTGGGCCATCAATTGTTGGAATGTACTCACATTATCCAGTTGTTTGAGGCTGTTGTTTCCAATGGAAAACACATGAAGCTGAGTAAGAAAGTCCATGTTTTCAATTTTTGATATTCTGTTATTGTAAAGTGTAAGATCCTTCAACTTGGTTAGTTTATCCAGTCCCTCGATAACTTCAATATTGTTAAATGAAAGATCTGCAACAAAGTTAAGCCAAGCAAATTTAGATGTTGATAAACTTTTGATCTATCTAGTTATCATAAATTGTTAGTATTAGGCTGATATCAATGCTAACAACTTTAGCTTTAAACATATTACTGCAGCTTTAATTACGTGGACTTTTATCAAATGATAACAAATTTGAATACGAGTATCAAATTTAACCTGAAAGAGAAAAATTGCCATATGTCGTTTGGATGAAAGTGTTGTTCTTCAAGTGAGACATGGCTAAGGATGTTTCTCATTTCTGTAAAACTTCTGTACAGCATCATACTATTGCCAAACAAAGTTGCAATACCAAAGACAGTCTAATTTTTCGCTTTTGCTATCTTTATCCAAGAACTGTAGGTTAAATGAAGTCTAGGGCTCTGCAGATTAAATTCTTACCCAACTCTCTAATGAAGTTACCAATTCCTAAAGGAAAGGTTACTTAATTTTAATGCTCTACCAGTCTAAACGTTTAACTTCCGTCAAACCCTTCTCCAACGGCGGATTGGTTTTGCCCTCAGATGGCAGAAGGAGACGTAGGTTTTAAGTGCGTTAAGTGTACGTATTCGTGGAAGTTTCTGTCTAAATCTTAAAGCTTCAGGTTAGCTACTTATTTTGTAAAGTTATGTGTATGCCATTATTATAAAATAGCTAACTACCTAACCACTCCAAGTTCACGAGCATATCCAGGCCTTCCATCCTCTCGATGATATTGTTGTCCATTTGCAACTTGGTCAGGTTCACTAGACTCCATAAGTTGTCGATTTTCAAAATATCTTTGTACAGAAAAGAAAATCAACGCACGGTTATAGAAACATATAATACACGCAAGAATTCTGGAGGTATTTCCACTCTTTTAAAAGAAATTTAACCCCTACTTTTGAAATCAAGTCTGAGGGAAAGTACATCTCCAAAGTCGGTTCCCTCTTGTTTTGCTATCCTTCCAGCTTCACCTTTCGGCCCTTGTTCCTCGATAGCATTTTTTAGCATCTGCTCATCGATAACAGAGGGCTCGATTGTGTCATAAAGACGACTCATGGTGTAAAAAAACAGAAGAATTAGACTAAGAGGCTACATTTGTGCAAATGGCCGAGAAAAACTTTCAAACTTCGCACTGTTTCTTGTTGTCCTGGACAACGCCGTCGTTTTAAGTAGACTGGTATCGAAGTATTACACTGCTCATGCTCTTGAAGAAACCGCTAGTAAACAGAAGGCTCAAGATATTTGTAAGAGATCAAAAACTGATCAAATCAAAGTTTACGAACGACTTCAAAATATTTTATTCCTTCAAAATGATGGAATATGAATATGAAATAGACCCCAGGTATGTGAGAAGTAGTTATAACCCTTATTAAATCCTTTGATATCGAAGTTCGTTTCATTCAAGGGTTTCTTTTCTTGATTTCTTTTTTCTGCCAGGGGACTACAAGGAAAACCAGGATCGGTGGTGTTGAAAAAAGACAAGCAAAATTTAATTGGAATAAGCATCGGTGGAGGAGCTCCTCTTTGTCCTTGCCTGTATGTCGTTCAAGTATTTGATAACACTCCAGCTTCTCGAGAGGGTGTGCTTCAGGCAGGCGATGAAATTGTCGGTGTAAATGGAAAATCTCTCAGAGGAAAAACAAAAGTCGACGTGGCCCGAGCTATTCAAGCCGTTAAAGTAAGTTCTCTTTTTGGTCCTCTTTTCTGTACACATGCGAAAGAAATTCATTTCATAGCAAACTGTTTGGTAAGTAGAATGGAGTATAAGCCAAATTTAGCTCTGGGTGGAAAGCAGAGCCTTTCATGACTGAATGATTGGATTTATTATTGTTTAAAAGTTTCATCAATTATTGATTAATTAATGAAACTTTCATTGGATGTCAATATGATTAGCTTTTCCATTCCTCAAGACCTGATTTTGAACTTGAATTAGTCCTTCCACTCTCTCAAGAGACCAATCAGTAATTTCTGCTTAAGATATCAATTTAATGTCAAGCAGAAATGTTATAAGAATTATGAAATCATAAACCGGGGAAAATTGCTCGTCTCAGCATCAAATTTCCTGAGCTAAAATTGCAAGGAATGGATGATAGACAGTAAGGATAAGTAATATGCAGATCTTAGAAGTTATGTGATCCATATGTGGGATTACTTAATTTTCATGCTTCGTGTTATTGTTGTTGTTGTTTTTTTAATCAACAAATCACAGTAATTAATTACTACTCTCCTGTTTGCTTATCAAATTAGGAGGAAGTTACTATAAACTATGTCAAACTACATGCCGAACCAACAGAAGGAAAAACTCTGGATATCAGTGAGTGAAAAGAGTGAAAATATGATATGTAAAATAATTAATGATACAATTATCTATTGATATGGTATGTTTTATTTAATTATATATTTTTTATTTTAATGTTTACTTGTTTATGAACCACCTTCATTAAAAAAGCCCTTGGAAGGCCATTATTTAAGGGATTTGTTGAAGACCTGATAGAGTGCTGGATTCTCCTTTGAAATTTTCTCACATTTCTTTGAAAAATACAAGGAGAAATTGGTGTTGCTGAAAAAGTCAGTTAAGGCTTAATTACATGTTCTCCTTCAGTTTTACAAGGTAAGAGGCAGATCTGCCCATGTTCATGAACTTGTTTTTGTTTTTTATCACATAGTATTAAAGAAAATGAAACATCGTATAGTGGAGCACATGAGTTCATCAACTGCAGATGCTTTGGGTCTCAGCAGAGCAATTCTGTGTAATGGTAAGTGGTAGAAGACAGAAAGTACTGTAACCTTTATGTGTCAATCTCTGTCTGTCTTTTTTTTTTTTACCTTTCATTGTGTCTGTGACTGTCAGCCCATTTCTTCATATTCCATTAATTTTGTCAGTTCAATACAGATGAGAGGTTTATAATAGAGTTGCTATTTGTTTTGCTAAAAAGGTTGAAGAAACTGTTATTTTTACATTTAAGAGGGGTTATATGCCAGTTGGCCAGTTACCCCCTCTTTGAATGAAAATTGGTATAGTTGTTTTACATGCAGATACATATTCCATTTTGTTTTAAGTTATTTAACATGTCACTCTAAAACATTTAATATTTTGTTTCCCTTCAGATGGACTGGTTAAAAAAATGGAGGAACTGGAGCAAAATTCCAATATCTACAAGGGTACCTTTTTTTGCTGTTGTAATTTTGGACATAACTTTGTTTATTCCAAGGTTCTCAAAATTTATAGGAAAAAAAACACTAATCCATTTATCTCTTTTTCAGGTCTTCTTGATCATGCCAGACAGTTTCTACAAAGCTTTTATAACTTAGCTCAAACACATAAAGGTATGAAAAGATACTAGCATTTTTTAATACATGGAGTTAATTTATTTGCAGAATTAGCCAGTTGGAAAATACAGACTTGAAGATTGTCATTCTTGGGTCTTGTGAAAAAAATATCCAATTTATAACTTGAAATTCAATTGATCTTATTTTGCAGAACTTGGAGAAATATTTGCTTCCATTGGTGTGAGAGAATTGCAGCCAAATGCAAGTGAGGCATTTGCAATTTTTAGCGAGGCTCACAGGTAATAAAACAAGGCAGCAGTAAACAGGTATACTAGAAAAAGATAAGCTAGAAAAAAGATAGATCAAATGAAAAATTCCTGGGTTTTATTTGAAATGAAGATTACACTGATCAGGATCATGGCTGTTTTTGGAGCAGTTATCCTTGCAGTACTTAAATTTGAAATTATCATCTGGTATTTGATTAAATCTTATTTATTTATTGTTTCTTTCAGAAACTTTGAGAAGCTAGGAATGGATTATCTAAAGAAAGTCAAACCCATGTTGAGTGATCTGAACACTTATCTTTCTAAGGTACATTTAATTGATACAAATCGGTACAGATTTTGATAAATTAGCTTTAGGTATTTTATTGTTATGCCAGAAATATAAACACCATCAACTAATAGTAACACCTTTCCTTTTACAGGCTATCCCAGATACCAAATTGACTATCAAAAAATATGCTGATGCTAAATTTGAATATTTGGTAAGTTAAGTGCAGCTTAAAATTTAATGCAATAATGTACAGTAGTCCACTTCAATAACCCACAATGCTCACTTTACCCCAAAAATCCAAGATATCCTGCTTGATAATAATTTGTTACACTTTTTTTTTTGCAGTCATATTGCCTGAAAGTAAAGGAGATGGATGATGAAGAATATGCTTATGCTGTAAGTTTGGCTCCTGTCTCCTGTTCCTTTTCTTGTTTTAGAATCAGTTATCAGTGGTCAATATTTGTGAGTCAATGCATTTAGTAAGAAGGATCGATTCATTGTTGTCTTTCCTATTATAAGGTATGTGTCTTCACAGTTGTCTGTGATTGACTGTAAACACTTTTGCAATCACTATTTTTCACAGGCATTGCATGAATCACTTTACAGAGTAGAGACAGGAAACTATGATTACAGGTACATCTCTTGCTCTTCAAATTTTCTCTCAAAATGCATGCTTGCATGTTTCTGTTTTTTTTTATTTTTGCTGGCATGTTTTACAGGTTTATGATTTAAACTGTTCTATGGCATGAGGAATAATGCAACCTTTTCTCATTTGGGTATGATGTAGGGTGGTATTGCGTTGTCGTCAGTTAGCCAGGGAGAGATTTGCAAAACTACGATCAGATGTTCTTGTGAAACTTGAACTTCTTGACCAAAAACATGGTGAGTCTCTATGCATTAGAATTTCTCTGTTTGTGCTGTGTAACTTTGGCACTACTCTTGGGAAAGATTGGGGTCATTTTTTACCATTTTTTACCCAGTGTTCACTAGGCTAGCAGTTCCAATTTCTTCTAAGAATAGTTGGCCAAAACACCATCAAAATGGCAATACAATAACACATGGTTGCACAAAAATCCTCAAAAATTACTCTCCATTTTAGGTGCCTTTACCTAACAAAAATACCAAAAAAGTCTGAATCCTGAATTCACCAACTGAAGGCCTTACCTCAACCACTGACTTTAACTATCCAAGATGATACTCTTAGTAGACTACTAATTTCGGTCAGTAGTGAAGTTTCCTTTTTTTAACACTTTTTGCTATTTTTCATTTCCACAGTACAAGACATTGTTTTTCAACTTCAGCGGTTTGTTGCAGCTGTTACAGAATACCATGAGAACTGCTATTCAGTGCTGAAGGATGCCAATGTTTTCCCCATTGAGGTAGATTTAACAAGAGGAGCACTGGGAAACACACTCAAATAACTTTCAACTTCATTTCATCACACAAAATGATGGTGAAGAAAAAAGGGGCATTAGTATTGGGAATAGAAGTTTAACTGATATCTCTTCATCGTCTTAATTTATTTAAAGAGCTATGTAACAGTATTTGGAGTCTTTTTTGTGTATCTTTAAAGCTACCTTCAACTTTATGGGATTAGTACAGAATATATTATGTAGCCAATTAGGCAAAGCTAATCCAAGAAGGATTGAAATTGGCAAAGAATAGGGAAAATCAACCCAGATTGAAAGTAATAAATGAAAGATGTACGCAATTCACGGTTTTCTTTTTTAGCATACTGAAAACCATGACTGTAACCATTACAACAAGTTTTTCAAAAAATATCATTTCAACAGTTAAGCAACGAGGAGCTCAATTGCCTTATTCAGAATAAAGTTTTTGTAGAAGGTACTGTATGTGACAGTCTTGTAACTTGCATGCATCCATCAACAAAACCAAGTATACCATAAAATTGGTTTTTTCCTCTGGAGAAATAAGGTTCTAACCAGTCAAATTCTAGTTCAATATATTTGGACAAAGGAGGAACCAAATGATTATTAGAGAAAGGCTTACTATGTGGAGGACTTCTCTGCTGGATGTAACCTAGTCACATAGAATCTTAGGTTGTTTATGACAAGGGAAGTCAGGTGGGCACCAAATGGTATTGTCACTTTTTGTATCAGAGTTTACTTGTCAATGTGGAAGAGTAAAATATAAATATTTGTACACTGCATATTTGCAGAGAGAATGCCAATGGAATTATGTTTAAAGTTCAATAAATTATTGTAGATTGAAGAAGTCAGTGTACAGTCATGCATTTACTCCATGGTAATGTTACCAATAAAGTTTGAGAAACTGGAGATTGTGTAAATTCTGTGTTTTGTCAAATATTTATGTTCCCTATGCAGTGTGTACCACGGGTGGTTTGTGGCTTGCATCCTCATGTTTGTTTGGTTTTTTTTTTTACACTTGACATGAAACATAAATTTAAAGACTTGCTGAGGTAATGACGTCTTGATTTTGCCTTTAACAATGGCATGGCGGTACCTTCAGTTTTGAGGATCCTGCCTCAGTTTTTTCAGTGATTCCAGTAATTTCAGGCAATGCTCAAATGTTCATGCCAGGAGACACAAATGTTCCAGATGATCTTTACAAAATAATGAATGTAATTGCTATTTGATCTCTAACTTCTCTATAGGTTTGTACATCTCATTAAGAAGTTATCTGCTAGAACAAAATTTGTCCTTGTTTTAGTATGCTTGGGTTTAGTTCATTGCAAACTCTATTTTTGTTTTTTTATCAGCACTTGCATTACAAAATCAAGTTTTTGGTTTAAGTCACCTTTAGGCACACCAAAGTTCCAAAAGAGATATTTCCAAACATTTAAATAAAAACTGAAAATTTGCTTGTTGATGCAGAAAATCTATACAAAATTTTGAAAAGTTTTTGCCTAGTTTGTGACCTAAACTCATTCCAAGGTTCTTTATCTTTCTTCCTTGAAAAAGGTCCAGATTCCTCTCTTCCAGGGCACACAGGGAATGATTTTGTCCAGTTTTAAGGTAAGGTACATAGGCTAATGATTCCATTTAGAATCTGTGCCACAGAGCATGGTCTTGAAATGCCGACTGTTGAAAAAGATCCAGCCAGTTTTTCTCAATGCTTTGGAGGCCCTTTGCAAACATTCTCCGAGAAACTGCAGAGCAACTGTAGAAGGCAGAGGAGATCACAGTACACCTTGCTCATCTGAAGACCACCTCCATAACTTGATGCTCTTATCAAGTGAACCTGATACAATAACTTGATCTGATGGATGAGCATCACAGCTTAATACAGGTTTTGTGTGTCCACTCAGCTTTCCCACAATTTGACAAGAGTTTATTTCCCACATATACAGCTGATTGTCTTCTGATCCAGATAATACCCACTTGCCATTCACTGTGCTAAGGCAGCTCATTACACAATAGTCCTTGTTTAGATGTCCTGTTGATAGATTAATACATTATAAATAACTAAAGTATCATACATGCAGGTAGCATGTTTGATGGGGACAAAACAGCTCCTCAGATAATGCCAAAATTAACTTAAATGATGTTATTGGTATCTAATTAAGAGAAACTGTCATGTTGCATTGGCAAGGAAGGAAAAATGACCTGTGGGGTAGATATCAAGCAATTGCAACATTAACCTGATAACTACTTAATGATTTAACATTAAGTTAGCTTTGGTTGCAATTAGGGGTATTGTGGGGAAAAAGTGTCACAAAGAAGAGTGAGATAAGCAAACAACAGGACACTATAGTCTCTTGTTGGTTACTGAATTCTTTGTGATCACCTCTTTATGTTTGATCCTTTATTACAGTACCTATCCTGTACCTAATATCAGTATAATTAGCATATTCTTCATACTTTTCTCCATACATTTCCTAAGGCACTAACAGGGAGAATTTGTTTAACAATCAAGAGCTACATTAGTTGGTGATCATTTCCTTCATTCTTGTGACCTTAATGTGTGATTCAGGGGTGACACTGTAACGAGAAATTGGATGCTAGTCACTCTAAAAACAAAATGAAAAGGTGATCACAGGGTCAAAACTTAGAATGATACCTTGGTAGGTTTTGATAATCCTTCCTTGTCCAATTTTGTAATCCCACATTGTAAGTGTGCTATCAAGGGTTGAAATCAACAGATATTTGCCATTTGGTGACATTGTGGCATGAGATATGGGTAAATTTGACTGCTGGCTTACTGAGATGGATTTCAAACAACAGCCAGACAGTACATCCCATACACAGCATTTGCTGTCATAGCTACAAGAGATGACAAGGGTCCCGTCCCTGCTGAACAGCACTGCTGTTACTGCTCCACTGTGGCCAACTAAGGTTTTCAGACAAGTACCTGATGATAAAACAGCCCATAAGTGTACAAATAGATATTAGCTGAAAAAGAAAAATATCAATGATGAAACTTAAATGGTAAGTGGAAGTTGGACAGAAAAGTGAGGTATACCTTGATTAAAGGGCTTCTTTCTTTCCCCCACCCCAAAGGAGCTTCAAAACATACATTTTTTTTTACATAAACTGCTCCAAAATTTACCCCACAAATGAACAAATGCAGCAAGCTTAGAAAACCAAATTGTTTGTGGTTGGGATTATCACATGCTTACTCTTGTGGAGGAAATCAGTTTAACTTCTTCTGGTTATAATCTGCTCACCAAGCTACCAGCTATTGAAAACATGCTGCTGTATTTTGTTAGTTGTGGCAAGCAAGTTAATACTGCCCACCCCCCCCCCCCCCCCCCC